TACTTTAAAAATTCCCCCTCCCCCCCCCCCCCCCCCCCCTTCTCCCTTGAAGATTGTTATAAATTCCATTATTATCACAGAGTGCCAGGTTGGGGGTTCCCACTAACATAGGTACTGGAGTAGAAATGCTGGGGGTACAGCAGCACCTCCTGGATTGAAGTGGTTTCCCAGCACTATACAGAGTTTACAGTTTGAGTCAATGGATGTTAGCACCCTCACTGTACAGATTCCTACCCACTGCCTTGGTTGAAGATTGTTATAAATTCCATTATTATCACAGAGTGCCAGGTTGGGGGTTCCCACTAACATAGGTACTGGAGTAGAAATGCTGGGGGTACAGCAGCACCTCCTGGATTGAAGTGGTTTCCCAGCACTATACAGAGTTTACAGTTTGAGTCAATGGATGTTAGCACCCTCACTGTACAGATTCCTACCCACTGCCTTGGTCCAACTCCAACAGTTCCATCACTTTTCATTTCCAACTTGTTGAAACTCTAATAAGGTATTTTGCTGTGTGTGTCTAGCAGGTATATAGACCCTTGAACATAAACCTGTTAGTATATGAATTGCAAATTTACTGTTAGGTTATTTGAAATACTGTGTTTCATTAGTCAGTTAAAATTGTAACATTATGTAATGTCACAAATCATCATGATGATGATGATTTATTATCCACACTGAGAAGTACTAACATGAGTAGTCTAATTTAATTCATTTGGACCGCTCATGTGTGTAAGTACTGCTCAAGTTAAATAAGGTGTAGAGAATCTGGCCTTAATAAATTTAGATTATTTAAATCACAAGGAGGGTAATTGATATTTCTAAACTTAGCTAGTATGTGCTGCCTTCAATACTGTTTAAACTTTAGAATGATTAAATCTTATGACTACAGTTAATGGATTTTTTTATTCCTCCGTTTTGCACTCACCATAAAAATTTTGTTTTAGTACAAACTGTCTGTAATGTTGTATAGGAACAAACAAATGAAGTATTAAAATAACGTAGACCACTGGATTTGAAAGAGCTATTGCTTTATTGCTCTGTAATCCAAGTATATTAAGTCTTTTCTTCCTTCTTCCTTAAATTGACTTAACTCCAGTGCATAGGGCATGAAATTTGCATTGTCCTGAACAATGCAGCCAGGTTGCTCTAATTTTGAAGTATAGATCAAGCCTAAAAAAGATGAAAGAGTTTTTGTATGGTACTGTTTGCCCAGTCACTTCTGCATCTGTGTAAGTTCAGAAAATTACAGACATATTAAGATGGGAAGAGAAATAAGCTAATTAAATATTCTAATATAGGCAGTATGTTTAAAGTGGACACTAAAGCCAGATTCTATAACAATAATTTTAAGAGTTGGACTTCCTTAAAATAAGGTCAAAGGACACATTATGTCTTTAGAAAACTCCTCTTCTTCCTTAACTTCCCAGTAAAGTGTTAATGTAATTCTTGTGTTCATCTTATTCCTTGATTTAATTGAGTGTAGTAATTGACAAGGCAGATTAATTGAACCATTCATTTTTTAATTTAATTTCAATTGTAATCTTAATTATGTTATATTTTATTAGTTCAGATAAATTAAAAATAAATTAGACACATTTGTTTAACTTCATATTTCTTTTATTTTTTTTACTAAATCCATTAATCCTAGTAGGATCCTTCCATATTCAAAGCAGCAGCAGATTAGTTGGAGAATCAGACCTAAGGAATGCCTTAATGTAATTAAATGGGTAATTATGGATCTCATCAAGAAAAATAATTTCTCTTTGGGCTGGTTTACACTCACTTTTTATACCAGTTTAAAGATACAAACAAAATTAAATTGGTGCAATCCCCCCCTTTTCCCCCTCCCACCCTCCCCCAGCGTGAATCCAGTAACACCTGGATAAGGAGATTTTACCTGGTATCATTTATTTCCATAAATCTATTAAATGTATTTTAGCAGTACAAAAACTTTGTAGAAGAGACAAGACCATTTTTAAAATCCCATTTTTAAATATCAAATTGACACAGGAACTCAAATGGCAATCCCAATCATGGCAATACCAATCATTCGCCTACTTTTGAATGTAAGCAGATCATTAGGAATTATGATCATATAGAGCTGTCTCTGCGTCAGTCACACTCACATTATTCCATTTGACTTAAACTGTGTAAGTGACATCAGAAACATGCCCCATGCAGCGGCAGCAAGAACCTCAGGTCCTTTAAATTGCCGCCAGAACCCCTCAGCGCATTTCAGGCAGCATTGAAGGTCTGGCAGGGGGCAAGACTAGTCCTTGCCCTTTTCCTCCCACTTGAGGCCCCAACCCTTCCAGGAGTAGGAAGCCACCCTCTCACCTGGCCCTAGGGCCCCACAATTCTCCCCTCACCCCCAGCTGATGGTTAATTGATTTATCAGTCCTCCTGACCTAATCAGCTAATTAGATGGGTATCCCCAATCAACCTTCTCTAGGATCAAAGTGCTGGGTCACCTGTTAGCTCCCAGCACTCTGTCACGCTGGACCCAAAGATGTTAATAAAGATGTAAGAGCCTAGTTTTATCATGTGTCCCACCAATTTAACCGAGGTCAGAACGGGGCTCTTCTTGCTATATTAAGTCATAATCTGGCTGTCCTGCACAGCAGGAGATTTGGAGGGAAGCATAAGAATGGCCATACTGGGTCATAACACTGCTCTATCCAGCCTAATATCTTGCCTTCTGGCAGGAACCAATGCCAGGTTCAAAGGAATGAAGAGAAGTGGGCAGTAATTAAAGTGATCCACCCTCAGTATGCAGTCGCAGAATCTGGTAGTCATAGGCTCAAGGAGGCCTATGCCATGGAATTGCATCCATGACCATTTTAAATAATAGCCATTGATGAATCCACTCCCCAGGAACTTACCTGATTCTTTTTTGGTGCCAGTTATTGTTTTGCACTTCACAATAGCCCTGGTGAGTTCCAAGATTGTCTGTTTGCTATGAAAAAATACTTCTTTTTGTTTGTTTTAAACCTGTTGCCTAGTAATTTCATTGGATGACCACTGGTTCCTATGTCAAAAGCACTCTTCTTATAGAAGGCTCAGTAGGCATTGGCCCAGATTATAAGATGCCTCCAAAGTGTGCTCAGCACAGCGCAGGGTGGTAGGGAAAAGTTGGCTGAATGTCACTTTTGTAGACCCCAGATTCCATGGCTGATGGAATTAGCCTAGTCTATAGGATAAACTAGCTGGAGTTACCAGGCATTGCTTGGTCCTGCTCCCTGCCAGCCGATTCGCTTCCTCCCCCACACTAACTCTGCTTCCTGATGGCCAGTCCTGCTCCTCCCAATCTCCTCCAGCCTGCCCCGCTCCCACGGACCGCTCCCCTCCCCCAATCTCCCCTGGCCAACCCTGCTGCCCCCGACATCTCCCCCCCATCCTGACCAGCTCTGCCTCCTGCAGGCCGTCCCTCCCCTGATCTCCCCCAGCCAGCCCCGCTGCCCCCAATGCTCCCCCCCCGAACAGCCCTGCTTCCCACCCCTCCCCCCTTCCTCCTGGCCAGTTCCACTCCCCTCCCGGCTAGTTCCTCCTCTCCCACTCCCCCAATCAAGTGTGCCCGGAGGGGGGGGGGGGTTTAGACTACCTGGTAACCGTAGCCATGGGGGGCAGGATGGATGCCCAAGCCATTGTGCGCGTCAGGGTGGGGTGAGTCCCGGACGGCGCTTTGGGGCCACAGGCAGCGGGCAAGTGACCTAGGGTGGGCGGGGCTGCCCCAAGCGTAGTGTGATTGGTTATTTTTTATTTTTACAGTTTGAGATCAGGCCCAATTGGGTCCAAAAGTACCTTAAAACCTTCTCCTGGAAGAAAGGTTATCCCATGGAAAGTTTGGTTGAAGTAGGTCTTATAGTGTACAAGTTATTAGAGCACAAACATACAAACATTCTCCTTTATATATTAGATTACAGCAATCTGAAGACTCTTTAATACATGCCTGTCTGCCTCTGTCTCCAAACGCCATTCCATTAGCTGAGAAGACCTGGAGTCAGGCAATTGCCATATGCCAGGGACAAAGACAGCCACTATGCCTGCAATGCATTTGTAGAGGGTTCCCTTTCTGCATGGGTAAAGCAGGGTTTCCAGAGCCACATAAAGTAGCCACAGCAGGTGTTCAGAATTGGGCCAGCTATGGCTATAGAACCCAGAGCAGACATAAAGAAATAACTTCATATCTAAGATACACCTGTGTTAAGATACATACATATCTTACTACATTTGAAAACCAGAGGAAGAAAATTTTCATATGCCTAGACTCTTAAATGGAATATTATTTATTACTTTTAGTAAATTGTAAATGTTTTCAGAGTTCATTTAAAAAAAAACCACACACATTTATTTGTGTTTCCAAAAACATAAATTGTATGAAAATTTTAGAACTTACATATTTGTGGTTTCAAGCTGCTTGGTTGATTTCATGAGAATAAATTATTTTATTGCTTTCTTAATGGGTGAGAAAACTTCTCCCTATTTCCGCCTCAGAAAGCTTGGTGTAAGTTCTTCATAAACAAAACATTTTGCAGAAGATTTTATTTTTTTATCCTTGGATCACTTACTTCGGGCATATAAATGTTTATGTAAACCTTCATATTGGATAATTTCTGTGCAGCAAAGTAGGTTAAATTGAGTTTCCTCTTTTTCCTTAAAATACTTACTCAGTTAATTTGAAATGCAAATATTATAGTATATGCCCTATTCTGAAGAAAATATAAATTCTCAATCCTGAAGCACACTGTCTTTCATTACAATAACATCATCAGATGAGATTTATTTTATAAATGCAGATTTTTAACATTATATCTCTGTTATGAAATCACTTTCAGTTGAAATGTAACTAAAGTTTTCAGTTTCCTTTCTGTTAATGTCACTGAGCTGCTGTTACAGTTTATTTCTGTGACCTCATTTTCCTACAGGGTGGTTTTGCTCTCACAAGGAAGTTTTTTTTTAACTAGATACTAAATACTTTTATTTGTTCTTCTCTACAGAGAGCAGGGGAGACAATTGGTGGAGATTCTGAAAGGTAATTTCTTTTTTGTCATCTTGCATTTATTGTTTTGTTTTATTTTTCTGAGAGACTCAAGTAATTTCCTGATTATAGTGAGAAAAAACATTGATCTCAGTGAGTATATCAGCTTCCTCAACTGATAGCTGCAAGTATGAATATAGATGTTAGACTGCAAAGATTTCTTGAACTTTTAAAAATTAAAATAGTATCAGATATAAATGAAAATAAATTAAACCTGTAATACAAAGTTTAAAGAGAAAATGTCTTCCCCTTTCTTTACTTTTTTCATTTCTTATTAGAAGGAATAATGTTTCAAAAGTACTTTGAAAATAAAAAGTGTGACATAAATGTTTAGTAGTACTACTTTTGGAAATCAACAGCAAAATAGTCCTCCTTGAATATTTTTGTTCCATCAACATTTTTAAAATTCTAGCCATTTATGCAGACATATGTAAACTAACATTTCTTAGTATCATTTAATAAATACTAGGGGTGAACAATTACTGTTCAGATTGTTTTTTAGTGTTTGTATTTGGTCAAATAGAATACTGAGAAATACAAATAATAGTGACACTATCTTTTATTCATTTACAGTTAGACTGGCTATGCACAAAACATATAACAGGTTACATCTAATAAACTACATAAAAGAACATTATGTTTGCAAAGTCAAATATATGAACATTAGGAAATGCCAGAGTTAAAGTAGTTCGTGCAACATTAATGGAGGACCCCTTCTGCGTATACATTATGATACCTCTTTAATAACATGATCATATCCTATTTTTCCATAGAAACAATGCCTCACTCAGCCTATTATTATTCAGCATTTCTTTTTATTCGTCTCATTCTTTGTGTGAAAATTAATTTTCTTGTGTGTGTTTCAATGGTGCTTTCACAATAGTATCCAAATGTTTCACTAATAAACACTGAAGAATTTATTTTCACAAAACTCATGTGAGATCTGGTGCTATTCTTGTTCTTGTTTTCAAGCTTTAGCACTGAGGCTCAGAAATATTAATGCCAAAAGTATACACTAATTTTAAGTTTCTACCCAGTGACACCTAGGGCCTGTTTTTTTATAGCATTCTGTAAGCTCAGAGCACACTTATAAGTCAACTTTGAGTGCAGTTTTGAGCACTTAGCACTTCTGCAAGGCTGGCCTCACCTGTCTCACATTAGGCATTCATAAAAGAAAGAACCAAAAATAATCGATATAAAAATAATTAATATGTTTTAAAATCACTTGAGATTATTCAGTCTAGATTTTGCTGATGACATCACTCTTCTACATGAAAATTCTGAGGGACTTCAAGTATGTACAAATGGAGTTAAAGAAATGATAGAGAAGATAGGACTGCAATTCAATGTAAAGAAATGTAAACCCATAGTAACTGGAAACATGGATTTAAACATCAAAATTGATGATGAAGAGCTAGAGAGGGGAGATCAATTCAAATACCTTGGAAGCGCAATAAGCCAAGATGTGCTGAGGAATTAAAAATAAAGATTGGCAAAGTGAACACAGCCTTCAATAAACTTAAGAACATTTGAAACCTTAATACCATATCCTTACATATAAAACTGAGCGTCTACTCAGCCATCGTTATAGACATTGCAACCTGACAACCTGGCAATTTAAGAAAACAGATGCTCAGAAATTAGATTAATTTAATCATAAGTGCTTCTGGTAAAAATTAGGAGTAAGCTATTAGGGAAATAATGAAGTCAGAAAAAATGGCAACAGTGAGTTCTTTATCACAAATAATTTGTTAGAGAAGACACCAATGGCAAGGGCATATGTTATGAATGGATCGTAACTGACTACAGATTATGGCTCTCATTTGGAAGCCAGAAAATCCAACAAGAAAAAGGGGCAGAGCTACAATAACTTGGAAGCATACAATTATCAACAACATAGAAAAAATTAATTTGAAATGGAAGGACTTAGGTTACATGGCAGTTGATTAGCAAGCATGGAGAATGTGGGTAGCTCAATGTGCTGAAAAGCATGGGATGGACTAAGGTCTAAAATGGTGTAATTGTTTGGCTTAATGGTTAAGCTTGCATCAAATAGGAGTTCTATGGCAAGGATAAACTCCAGTTCTTGAAGGTGGCATTCAGCTTCCTTAATTTGGACACTGTCCTTTCTCTCATGCAGTCCTCTGCCTCATTGTCTTCCAATTTCTGCAACAAATGGGACAGTGATGAATCTTATTCACTACATAATCCTGATTCATTCCAGAGCACTGTTCACTGAATGAAACAGGAGTTGTGATAAAAAAAACATGTATGATCATGTAATTAAATACTGTATTATAATGCATCCACACAAAGTGGCCAACTTAAGGTTGCATAGGCAACCTTTATAATAGTATTTCCTAACTTTTCAGTGCTTGTCTTGGCACTCTTACATTTTGTTAACATAGTTGTTAAAGCAATTGTTTTTAAAACAAAATAAACCCTCGATGACATAGAACTTTACTGACTCCCAACTTGAGTTATAATTATTACGGATGACATGTCCAAGCCTAAATATATTCAGAACTACCTTCCCAGCTGCTATATATATTATGGGTCAGTTCTTCCAAAGATGGCTGCATGATAAGATCTATGCTCTTTGCAAAAGCACTGTTGACTTTACTTGGGCTTTAAACAGTCATAGAGATCTGACCACGGAGTTCTCTTAGCAGAATTCTGGCCTTTACAACAAATTATTTATACCTTAACATATAACAGAGTAGGTGCAAATTAAAAAATCTGTTCCCAAATATATTGAAAAATACTCCTGTTATGTGCAATATACAATATAGTGCACTATATATCCATTAAAGAAAACAACTTCAAGTAAATAGAGTGTCAAGTGAGCCTTAATTGCTGATTTCCCATGGCAAGATGGGTCTGGAAAAGTACTCAGACTCTTTTGTTGAAATTTTGTGTAATTTTGAAACTGATTATGTGTATATTAAAAGCTGAGGCCTAAGGAAGAGGGTTGCAGTTCCATGTGGTTCATCCTGGAATGCTCTTTTTTTTTCTAGCTCTGATTGTTGATAGAAATTGTCTGCCAAGTAGTCTGATGCAGATATGAAGCCACAAAATAATCTCCCTGGAGAAAATCTACGGGAGGATAAAAATGAAATTCCTGGCTAATTCTTTCAAGATGGAGAAATGTGCATGTCCATTGAGAAGATAGGATTGGAAATCTTCAGTGTCAGTGGATCCTAGAGATCTGTGAGCAATGTGTCCATAGAGCCATGCTATCCCTATAAAGAGTGTAGGCAAAGAGTCCTGTAAAGCCATACTACCTGTCTAACCACATCACCCTGGTAGGATTATAGTAGGCACAGAGGAACAGTTATTTCTACGTAGACCAATAAAAACTATTGGGATTTCTCACTAAAAATCCCTTCTTACTCACAGATCTACCATTTCACCTAGCTCCCTAGCTAGGGCTTTTCTGCAACATTTCGCTGCTCTGTGCAGAGTATAGTGGCAAGTTACTTATGATTCATTTTTTCATTTGGATCATAGAGACTATGAGATTCAACCCTCCCTCCCCACCATCATTCTCCTCGGTTTCTTCACACTGTTTTATATTCCTCTGAACAAGAAGTAAACTTCCATACATTTCGGAGGGGTAGCAATGTTAGTCTGTAACTTTAAAAACAAGTACTCCTGTGGCACCTTAGAGACTGAGATTTTTTTTTTCAGATTTTGCCCATAAAAGCTCAGTATACTATATATTTTTGTAACTCTCTAAGGTGCCACAGGACTACTCGTTATTTTAAAAATTTTATAAATGTTCTCATTACAAACATTTATTTTTATCATAGAATTTGAAATGAACGGAGTCACAGCAGTGGTGAATTTGGTCCCTTTTGTCTATACTGTAATGGGTTTCACTTGACCATTTTTGAATGAGTGGTGCAGTCAATCATAGATGGCAGTAAGGCAGAAAAAAACATTTGATATCAAGTGCTGTAGGCAACTTGCTACCAATTTTGCTCAATGTCAAAAGTTGAAAACCTGCAATATAAGCTGCAATGAAGGTTTTAAATTAATGTGTTGATTTTCTGTGCATTTTCAGATATTTTTAGCAGTTTTAAATGATTTAAGGGTGTGCTTTTGACCACAGCCTAAGACCAAATGACTCACCAGTTGAGGAGTATCTTTACCTCCCCTTCCATTTGTTACATTTTTCAATATCTTATTTTTGTTGCATTTGTACCCCATTTTATTATTTTGATGTATGATTGGCACTCATGATCTATTTCTGTCATAGAAGACAATACAATTACACTTTCTCAGGTTCACAGTATCTCAGCTGGATTCTCACTTCACTTAGTTCTCATGTCTCACTGACTGAGTGCCAATGCCCTGTCCCTTAAATAACCATGAAGGCATGGCTGACAACATTCTAGATGGCTTGAGGAAAATGTAGTTCTAAAAGTCTGCAAATTTCCACAAGATTCTATACAATAAAATGGCAGAGGTTCATCAGAGTTAGCCCTGGTGGGCTTCTGCCATTATATTTACCTGCACCTCTGCAGGTATTAACAATCGCAGCTCCCATTGATCGGGAATGGCAATCCATGTCCAATGGGAGCTGTGATCCCCTGTATCTGCAGGGGCACAGGTAAATATGTCAGTGTGGGGGCCCTCTAAGGGCTAACACATGCAGACCAGATCCGGCCTGTGGGCCAGAATTTGCCCACCCCGATCTAAAACATTTTAGGAGGATAGGAAAAATTAATCCGCCTACAGAATACCTGAAACATTTTAGTTCAAAAAATCTCTTTTCTCTTTTGTTGCAAACAAAAACAGCACCCAAGTCAAGTGCAGTTGTCTGGGACTCCTGCTTCTAAATCCAGTCCTGTTTGTGACTTCTAGCCCAAATAAATTAACCTTTTAACATTAGGTTTCTCTTTCTATTAGATCCCTTGTCATTTTCACATATGAATAGAGCAAAGTTTACATGAGAAATGAAAAACTCAAAGTGCTTAATAACCTATTTG